CAGGCCCCACCAGGAAACACCAGGTCCTACCAGGCCCCACCAGGCCCCATCAGGCCCCACCAGGAAACATCAGGTCCCACCAGGAAACACCAGGCCCCACCAGGCCCCACCAAGCCCCATCAGGCCACACCAGGAAACACCAGGCCCCACCAGGCAACACCAGGTCCCACCAGGCATCACCAGGCTCCATGAGGCCCCACAAGGTCAACAGGCAACCTCAGGCCCCACCAGATTCTTCTAGGTCGCACCAGGCCCCACCAGGAACTAGGTCCCACAATATCATACCAGGCAACACCATGTCCCACCAGGACATACCAAGTCCCACCAGGTCCCATGAAGCCCCATGAGGTCAGGCAAACTCAGACCACAACAGGCCCCACCAGGTAACACAAGGAAACACCAGGTCCCACGAGGCTTAGTGGACCCCACCAGGCAACACCAGGCCCCTCAGGTCCCATGAGGCAAGGCCCCACCAGACCTCAGCAGACACAACCAGGACCCCATTGGCCCCATCAGGCCCCCAGAACGGAAAGCAGACCCAGATGAGCCCGCATGCCGTCAGCACCGGGGAGAAAATTGTCCCAGGAAATCAAAACCACAGCACCTCAGCCTGTGCTACCCGCCTGCCCAGCAGAACTTCACACACAGGATATTTCTGTCATTTTTCACCAATCCGGGGCTGCAATTCGTTACCATAGAAACCCCCTCATTTCCACGCCACCCGCTCTTATGCAGAAAAACCAACCGATCACAAGAGCAGGAGAGTTTGCCTTGTTTCCCTTCGAGTCTGGTTTCTTCCCTCTTAAAGTGGCGGACGGTCCAGAGAGGGACTATGAGGAGCGCAGGGGACAAGTCAGCAGCCAGGACATGCCAGGCCAGTGTCGGGGGCAGAGAGAGCCCCTCCCGTAGGGGGGTCGGGGGGCCAATCCCGTGGCCTGCGGGGACCGGCGGTCCCTCTCTGGGGTCGAAGTTCCCCAGCCTGGACCTTTGGGCCCCAGGGGTACGTGCTCGGCACGTGTCGGGGTGACGCTGCGTCCCGGTGTCCGGGGACCCGGCCATACGTGCAAGGACCACATGCGGGGCGATGTGGGACCTCTCGCTCCGTCCTCCCAGCTGGCCCAGCCCCAGGAACGCTCCTCCCTCTGAGCCCGTCCAGCACGGGGGTGGGAGGCCTCAGTTCTGCCCACAGCCCCCTGGCCCCAGGAAGGCGCCGTGGCGCCGTCAGCCCCAAGGGCTGGAGGCCCCTCTGAGGGTTAGGAGGGAGGCCCAGCGGCCATCGGCCCCACCGCTAGCTGTCAGTGTCACCACGGGACACACCAAGGAGGCCACAGTGCAGTGCCGACGCCAAGTCCCCTGAGGGCATCCACGGGCCATGACCCCCCACTTCACACCCACGAGGACGACGACAGGCACAAAGCCAAGTCCAAGTGTCGGCATGGACATGGGGAGACGGGAGCTCTTGCCCAGGGTCGTGGGAATGTAAGAGGGTGTCACCGCCGTGCAGAACAGCTCAGCAGCTCCTCGAAGACTTAGTTCCTGCTGACCCCGATGTCCACTCGGGTGGGCACCCAAGTCCACACAAAAACGTGAGCACGAATGTTCCCTGCAGCCCTCCTGGGGCAGCCGAGAGCCGAAGCCACCAGAGTCCAGCAGGTGACTGGATGAGGACGACGTGCTCTGTCCCCACAGGGGAACGTCCTCTGGCCTTTGAAAAGGAAAGCAGCAGCGACACACGCAGCCGGGTGGACGGAGCTTGGACACAATCCGTGGCGTAGAAGCTCCGTGTCGCCAAGACGCCCAGAACCCGGGGACCCGCAGAGACTGAGAGTAGAGTCCCGGTTGCCGGGGGCTGGGGGAGGTGACTGCTGATGGTTATAGGATTTCTCTTAGGTGGGACAGGGACGTTCTGGCATTGAGAGTGCTGACGGCTGCATAACCTTGGGAATACACTGAAACCACTGGGGCGGGGGTGACTTTGTGGGGGACATCGTAGCTCAAGAAGCTGATGCGTTCAAGGGCAGAGAGACCAGCCTGGGGGGGTGGGGGGTGACGCGGCACGGAGTCCTGCTCTGGGCGCAGGTCCCGGCAGCGGGGACAAAGGAGACGGTGCCCAAGCTGGGGGCAGGGTCTGAGCTGCTAGCACGGGGCAGGGAGCACGACAAGGTCCCTCAGGCTCACACACGGTCCTCGCCTGGCCGGGGCCGGGGCTCGTCGGAGGTCGGAGCGCCCGGCTGCCCGCCCCCAGCCCGCGCAGGGCTGTGTCCCTGCTCCGCCACCTCCACCCTGCCACGTCCACATCGGGGCTGCGGCGCCGTCCGCTTTATTTTCTGGTTCATGGTTTTCTTGCTTCTCCCCCTTTTAAATTTTTATTGAAATCTTTTTTTTCCCCCTAAGAACACGTTCATAGGATTTGTGGATTGAGACT